TGTCCCTAAAAGGTTTATTCTTAAGTATTTTATCCTTTTCTGCAGTATGTACCATCTTTTGTTTATTTCTCATCCTTCAAAGCACAAAATACTGTAAAAAAGAGTACAAAAGTTTCCTCTTAGCTCTTCTTTGGGTGTCAGAAGTTGAGAGAAAAAAGCAAATAGACCTGAGGAGCTGAGAAAGACTGGAGAGGTGAAATTATAAGGAAAAGGAACAATTGAAAGTAGAACTTTGAAATTGCCTGATAAGTTAATTATAAATTGAAACATTGTTTTAAAAAAATAACCCATTGTTATAATGAACCAGATTGTTTGAGAAATACGTGGAAGCATATATTTCACTGGAACTGGTAGAAGCAGGTAAGCTTTCAAAATGGCTGCTTCTGAGATTCAGGAAATCAGTAGCCATGAGAGACAATGGAGAGCAAAACAAGACATCTAAAAGCATATCATGAAAAACAAACTTGGAATAATCTTTATGTTGTGATGGTGCTGAATGACTGGTACTTAACGACTGATTCCCAAAATTCCAGCTGTCTCAGTGCCCATGCACCCACATGATCATGAATCATGCACCTGGCAACCAGTTTGCACTTAACGATTGTTAAGCATCCCACAGTCACATAATCACCATTTGCAACCTTTCCTGCCAACTTTCCACAAGTAGTAATGGGAAGAAGGTTGCAAGTCAGTCTTGTAAATCCCCCTAGTCTTTCTTCACTCCCATTGGTCCTTGGCTTTCCTGTGCTTCTGCTGCATCACATCATCCGTCCAGCCTCTGCTCTCATGCAGTCAGCACCAGGCCTTCCGTGCTTTTTCCAAAATCATGCACTGCCATCCCTAGCCTTCCCAGGGCCTCCCCTGGCGTTTCTCACCCCTTTGCAGTAATCCTGCATTCCTTATCTTGAACTTCCACCACTTCCCACTTAATGACCAATACATTGTAGGTTATGACAGCAACTGGGACTTTTGGAATTGTTGTCAATTGTAAGTCATACAGTGATGTGATGCTTTATGACTGTATCCTTTAGCAATGGCATTCTATGGTATTGTTACATTACATATCATTTCTTACCTGTGTCTTAACTAAATGATCCTACTGTTCTAAATACATGCAAATTTAAAAACCATGCATGTTATTTGGGATTTTTATGTACAATAAGTCCTAACTTATGGCTAGTCTTTTAACGACTAACTGAAGTTGACAGCTTGAAAAGGATATTTTATAGTCTGTAAAACTCTTCCTGCCATCGTGCCACCCTTCCTTCCCCCATAGTCTCATGATCACAATAGCAATAGCACTTTTATAATGCTTTATAGTGCTTTACAGCCCTCTTTAAGTGGTTTACAGAGCCAGCATATTGCCCCCAGCTTGGCAACTTGTTCACACTTAGGATCAGTTGTCAAGTGCCCTGATCACATTTACAATATTCTCTGGCAGCTTCCCAAGAAAGTCAGTGGGGAAGCTGGCAGGGAAGCTTGCAAGCTGCTGTGGCCTGCTGAAGGTTTTCCCTTTCCCATGTGTGGGGCATATTGTAAATTCAACAACATTACCAAAACAGAATAAAAGATGGTAGCAACAGGTCAAATTGGGTTCTCTGAAAAAGCTCAATCTTCAGAATCTTGTGAAACTTGAAGTAGAGATTTTGATATGGATGGGGTTATATTTTCCTGAAGAATTAGCTGAAGAATTATACTATGTCTGTATTCCTAGATGGAAATAGGTTGGCCATGAAACATTGATAGGCAGTCACATTAACCCCTTAAAAAGCCAGAATGTAAGTGATTATATTTGCCATTCTATGTGATATGTACATTTGGGAATAGCATAGTGTATTTGCATATGATCTTAAGAATTACTTTTTCTATTGTTTCATTTTTTATGACAAACAAAGGAAATAATAGATATAGCAAACAAATTTGAAGTTTTTTTGCAAAGTACATTTTATTTTGTAATTTGTAAGGTTTTCCTCTTATTTGCCTTCCTCTTCTACTTGGTTTGTTCAACTAACCAGCCTGAAATGAAACATTCTTTTTCCTTCTAATTGTAAGCATTGCGTGCAGAACTCTGCGAAAAAGAAACATCTCATATTATCAAAGTTGTCAGACCTCCACATCGCTACGCTATCTATAGTATGACTATGTAGTAGTCATTAATCCCATTTTAAAAAGCTTTTAACTTACCTATATTTATTTTTTTAACGACTAAAATGGTAATGAAAGAAGCACATGAGTTTTGCTGGACATTCTCTATGATTGTGGTCTAGGGAGAAAATGTTAGCAACATGGCAGCTACATATAAGACTACAAACAATTGGTCTATTTGAAGAATGAGAGTGATAACTGAGCATTTAGCTAGAAAAAAGGTTTCAGTGCTTTGAGAAAGATGAATGGATTTGTAGATGGTGTCCGTTTGTACGTACACAGAGAAAAGTATAAGGTGATGTCATATTCTGAATGTTTGTCTAGCAGTGTTGTGTGGTATGTTATGTGGGGTGGTTTCTCCTACTTTTTATTATTTAGAAGAACAAGACAAGAATATCTGCTTTCACTCTTGCTTTTTAATATCTGAGTGAAACCTTTGGTTTGTGCTATTAGACAACATAGAAAGGTCTGAGGAGAAGTACATAAATCAGTTGAACAGATTGGTTTTGTTTAATGTTGTTCTTTCATTTATTTCTAAACTTCACACTATTATCCCAGTGTTGATGCTAAAGATTGATGGCGTTAGCAAAATAGGAGAATATTCTCGCCCAAATCAGAATCGATGCTAATAGGTAAAAATTGGATTACCCATCCATTGGAATATTAATTCTGTATTTGAATCAAATCCATCAAATATTTAGGTATGTATATACCAAAGGATATTTCTCAATAATATACTGTAATATAAATAAAATTTTGAGCAGTTTATTCAGATATTGATAGATGGGAATTATTAAAACTTTGGGGAAAGGTAACCCCCTCAAAATGCATATTATTCCCAGTTTAATTTGCATTCTGAGATGAATTCTAGTTATATATCTGGAAAATATTTTCAGAAAATAAATTTTTTGTTTAGAACATTTCTTTGTTTCTAAGAATATCTTTACCAAAAATGCAACCATCACTTAATCAGGAAAGATTTGTTTTTCCAGATCTAGAACTACATTATCACACTTACCTATTGTCAGTTATTATGTTCTTGAACCCAGCAATTGTGTTAATTTTCCAATTTGTGCAATTTTTGAATATACACATATATCACTTTTGGCTGGATGGATAGCATTAAGATCTATACATACTAAAACTACTATCTCTGGAAACAATTACATCAGTTAGAAAGTTATGGAAAATGATGTCTAATAAAAGTGATTTGACACTCCTAACCTAGAACTTGCTCTGCTTCCCACTTAAAGCTCCTTGCATGTAGAGTTATGACAGCAACTGGGATTGCCAGAATTGCTGCCACATAATAATGCAGTCACATGATATCATGTGCTTTACGACTGCATCACTTAGCAAAGGAAATTCTGGTCCCAATAGGACTACCTGTATGGAAAAAAATTGAGTGCAGTGGGATAAGGTGGTGCAGTAAAATAATTTATAGGACCAAGAATGAATGTGGACTAAATGAATATAGACTGAAAGCAAAAGTGGGTGACCAATATGAAAGAAGTATATTGACATGGTTTGATCATCTTGTACACAAAATAAATATATATATAAAAAGAGTGAATATATGTAGAGGAAGGTGAAAGTCAAACAAATTAGAGGTTAGATGAGGTAAGATTGAGAAATTTAAAGAACCCAACGCATTGAATAAAGAGTGGTTTTGAAATATAAAAAGAGTAACAATATGTCATTTATTAATTAATGGCTAAAAGTTCACTTTAAGTATTATTTAGTTCCAACATAATTGCATTGTTTATTAGAATGAAAGTACCACTTTTTAAGTATTGTCAATGCACTTTAAAAATGAAATTTTATTACTAAATTGTACTCTGAAAAATGTGAATTCTGCAACTTGAACAAATTATATTACAAGTTCTTATTTGGGACCAGCAACTCATTTGTTAAGCAAAGAAGCTGCTAGGTGGAACCACAACTGTGCTCAGTTTTCCATGCTTTACAGACCTCCAAAAGTTGTAAATGTGAGAATTGGTCATAGAGTTATATTTTCATTACCGTCATAACTGCAAATGGTCACTAAATGATGCAGTTGTTAAACAAGGTTGCAATGTTCTTTGCTGCCCGTGTCATCCACAGCTGACCTTCGCAGTCTTCTGCTGCTGCAGACAAGGCACACAAAAGGCCTTGCCTTTTGGGAAGCAGTTACTAACCATAGGCGACATCAGGAAGAAGGCCTTGCATGATCAGTAGCTGCCTTGCAAAGGACCAAGTCAGGCACGCTTCTTCAGCACTGGGAGGAAGAAGTCAAGCAAAGTCAGTTGGAGGTTGCAGAGAAGAAGGAGATAGGGCAGAGATTGGGCGGGGGGGGGGAGATAAGAGGTGTGAGGAGTTGAAGGGCACCCTGGTCATAAATGCGGGTGGGCTGCCAAGCACCCAAATGTTGATAATGTGACCAAAGGGGCACCGCAGCAGCCATAACTTCAAGGACTGACCATGAATACCACTTAGTGCTGTCATATCTTAGAATTAGAAAATTTCTAATAAAATTTTATTAGAAAATAAACCATTATCTGACATAGCATGTAGTTTGCATACATTTTAGTGTGGGTTAATAAAAATCAGGGAGGCAAATTTATAACTATTTTCTTTTATAAAAAAAAGCTAATGGGATAATTTTCTTGTAAAAAGATTGAGCAATGTAAAGTAAGTAATCATTATACTTTCCTCAGCACATAATTTTTTTATTAATCATGAGAAAGCAATAAAACTCATGGTACTGTGTACACCACTTATTCTGTCTTAGGTATAAAATAGATGAATTATTTTTCAGTAATATTTCACATAAACTCTCCAACAGCTAATTTTATTTTTTTCTGTTTACTTTTTAGGTTATATTTCACACTATGTGCTGACTGTCTGTACTTACAGAAACTATTTAAAAACAGTTTTTTTTTTTCAAAATAAATTTGATTCCAGTGGAATCTGCTTTAGATTTTGTCTTGTGAAGTAACTCCTGAAGCAATGCCTGTACAAGCTCCACAATGGACGGATTTTCTCTCCTGCCCTATTTGCACACAAACATTCGACGAAACGATCCGGAAACCCATCAGTCTAGGTTGTGGCCACACAGTCTGCAAGATGTGCCTGAACAAGCTCCATCGGAAAGCATGTCCTTTCGACCAGACCACTATCAATACAGACATAGAACATCTTCCTGTGAACTCAGCTTTGCTGCAGCTTGTGGGTGCTCAAGTAAGGGAATGTTTCCTTAGTCTCCTGCTTTAGATTTATTTTAACTAGTTGACATTTTTTTCATCAAATAAGCAACTGTATTTTTAAAAAACCTCAGAAAAAGCAAATAATGAAATGAACAAATGTAACAAACCGTAACATTTTCAAATATATAAACCATCACCAGGCTATGGAAAGAGTTTCCTAAAGTCCCAAAGTTTCATTGTAGAGTGCCTAGGCAAGCAATTAATAGTTTTACCATGTGAAATAATGTGAAATCCATATGAAAAAGATTTGTTTAAATTGTACATCATTAACCAATCTGCTGTTGGGCATCCAACAAGCTATTTTTGTAGTTTTGGAAATAATGTGTTCTTCCTTGAATGTATTTGTGTATAAATAGTATGGAATCACATATTTTTTCTTTATGTTAGAATAACTGCTTTGTCTTCTTCAGGCTAGGAATGGACAGTTAATGAAAAGTGAGGAACTGCACATAAATTTGGCAGAAATAGGTGGGAGCAATAAAAACATAAAAGTAGCCATTTCTTAACATATTGGTAATATTCTTACATTTTCTACAGATGCCAGAACAGCAACCAATAACTCTACGCAGTGGTGCTGAAGATACTAAACATTATGAGGAAGCCAGGAAATGTGTGGAAGAACTAGCCTTATACCTTAAACCACTCAGCAGTGCAAGAGGTGAATCGTGCTTGTCATCCTTTTGTCATGTTTTAATATAACAACATGTGTAAAGAATGTCGAATTAAGAAAACAAGTGCTGAAGCAAGTAGTCTTGAAAAAATGTAAAAAAAAAAACACCCTACCATGCTTTTTTTCCCACCTCCCTTCACCTTTTATGGTGTTATGTGGTATTTATGGCACTTGGTGTCCTGAAAGGAACCAGTTTACTTCCAACTGGAGGGAATTGTATTATTGTTTCACAGCAGTTAATATGAACATGAACAAAATTTCAAGGCAGAAGAAATTGTGCCTTGAAGAAATTCTGAAGAATAATGTACAGATAAAAGTTTTCCTCAGCAGATCTAAATACCACAAAATTTTAACCCTTGCATACTATTTGAATAATTAGCCCCCAATAGATTGTAAATAACTTTTGCATTGCCCTCAAGAAATTCTGAAATAACTCCCAATATTTTTCTCTTCGTTAAAGGTGTAGGATTGAACAGCACAACTCAGAGTGTGCTTAGTCGGCCCATGCAAAGGAAGCTTGTGACATTAGTTCATTGCCAGCTGGTAGAAGAAGAAGGGCGGATCCGAGCTATGCGTGCAGCCCGATCTCTAGGTGAAAGAACTGTTACTGAGCTTATTCTTCAGCACCAGAATCCCCAGCAATTATCTTCAAATCTTTGGGCTGCAGTGAGGGCTAGAGGCTGTCAGTTCCTTGGACCAGGTATATATCAGGGGAAATGGCTTTCTATCACTGAGAAGATCAGCTGTTATATGAGCAAAATTGCTTTACATATTTTCTATATTTGAACAATTGAAAGCATTTAAAAAACCAATTTCTTTTTAATGATAGCGTGGTTTATTTCTACTTTACATTGAACAGATTTGACAGATTTTACTAAAGTTTTACTAAATGTTCAGCTATACAGTAGGATGGTGTTTTATTAAATTGTTTAAAGATTCAGTACAGGCTCCAGCAGTACCAGAGTATTAAGGAAAAGGTCTCGCAAATAAAAACTAAAAGTTCAGACTTCAAGAAAAATATAAAATAATATTTAATAAGTTTCCACTACTTTAGTTGTAAAAATTCAGCATTTAAATTTTTGGAGTTAGTTGTTACCCAGAGCTCTCCTAGCAGCCTTCCCTAGCCTGGGGATCTTTCAGACATGTAAACTTCAATTTCAGAATGCCCATCCAGCAATTGGTGGGTTCTGCCTTAGGGGACACAAAATAGCACTCAAGGACCACGTCTTAGTTGCAAGGAGTAACACGATCAACTACTTACACTGATTTATTCATTCATTACAGGGAATCCCCAATTTACAATTAATCCCAAAATTCCACTGCTAAGCAAGGCAGTTTTTGAGTCAGTTGTGCCTAATTTTATGACTTTTTGCCATAGTTGTTAAGCAATCACTGCAGTTGTTAAGTGAATCATGTGGTTGTTAAGTGAATCTGGCTTCCTCCACTGATTGTGCTTTTCATAAGCTCCCTAGGAAGGTTGTAAATGAGAATCTCAAGACTTCAGGATGATACAACCATCATAAATACACACCAGTTGCTAAGCCCCCACAGTTTGATCACATGACTCTGGGGATGCTGCAAGTGTGAAAATTGGTCATGTCGCTTTTTTCAATTCCATTGTGAGTTTAAAAAGTCATTAAATGAATGGTTATAAGTTGAGGATTGCCTGTATTAAATATTGCAATAGTATTGGATAGAAATAATCAGTGGCATAATTAATCCTATAATGAACTATTTGCAGTAAAGAATATACTTGGGGTTTTTAGCATTTTGGGGGGATAGGTTTGTCTTTGCACTCAGTCATTCCTATTTTTGAAACCATGTCATAAACAGACTAGTAATTGATATGAAAGTGAAAGTTGTCTGGTTCCTTCTAATGCAGGTAAATTATGCTCTACGGCAGGGGTCCCAACCTTTTCTATACCCTGCACCCTGGAACACTTCTGATATATTCTTGCACCACTTACAAAAATAACTATATGCATATTATTATGCATCTACACTATAATTTTGAAACTTCTAAACCCAAGTTTTTGCACCCTCTGGAATATTGTCTCCTACCCCCAAGAGGTGTGAGCACTATTGGTTGGGAACCCCTGCTCTAAGAGAATGGCATTTTTTCTTGCACAATCCTGATGTAACCTGGAGATTTCTATAACTTCTAATATAATTGCTAATTGTAATATTTTTACAAAAATCCAATATTAATCCTGTGTGTGGTCCTCTTGATTTTCCAGCAATGCAGGAGGAAGCCCTGAAGTTAGTTCTTTTAGCTTTAGAAGATGGATCTGCTTTATCTCGAAAAGTCTTGGTTCTCTTTGTGGTACAGAGGTTGGAGCCACGATTTCCTCAGGCTTCTAAAACCAGCATTGGGCATGTTGTCCAGCTTCTTTACAGAGCCTCCTGTTTCAAGGTACAAAAGAACTTAAATGCTTATGGATCTTCTTTATCCAGTAGTTATGTCCATTCATAAATGTGTGTGTGTGTGTATGTGAACTTCTTTTGCACAAATAGCATGATGCAAAAAGTTCCACAGAATTATCATTTGCAAGAGAGAAACTTGATTAGGCACACTTATTTATTCCTTAGGTTTATTACTTTATCTTACTTTAATAATTTTGCCTCAACCAGGTGACTAAACGTGATGAGGATTCCTCCCTAATGCAGCTGAAGGAGGAATTCAGAACATATGAAGCGCTGAGACGAGAACATGATTCCCAAATTGTACAAATTGCTATGGAAGCTGGTTTGCGGATAGCTCCAGATCAGTGGTCTTCGTTACTGTATGGAGACCAGTCTCACAAATCCCACATGCAGTCCATTATTGACAAGGTAGTATCTCTTTAAATCATTATCCTTTTGTTTCTCAAATCAATTTTTAAAATGCTTATAAAATTGTAAAGAGAAATTCATATTTATATGTGAAATGCACCAATTCCAATTTTTTTCATTCTGATTTTGTACAGGTAGTTCTCGACTTAAGAACCAGTCATTTAATGATTGAAGTTACAACAGCACTGAAAAAAGTGACAGTGAATCTTTTTCGCACTAGTATTACAGCATACCTATGGTCACATGATCAAAATTCCTGCATTTGACAATTGGCATGTATTTATGAGGGTTGCAGTGTCCCAGGGTCATGTGATCACCTCTTGTAACCTTTTATCAAGCTAAGTCATTGGGAATGCCAGATTCATTTAACATCCATGTTACTAACTTAACAACTGCAGTGATTGATTTAACAACTTGGGAAGAAAGATCGTAAAATGGGGCAAAACTCACTTAACAACTGCCTTGCTTAGCAATAGAAATTTGGGGCTCAATTGTGGTTGTAAGTTGAGAACTACCCATCATGGGAATGGAATATCCCTTTTAGTTGTAAACTTTAGCTTTGGTCCAAAATACCTGGGAACCTTCTTCACCATTATAGACATAAGGATAGACATAAGGCTATCATGAGCATCTAAACTAGAATGCATGGTTTTTTTACCTGTTTTCACTTTAGTATTTATTTGTGAATTCCAGATGAATGCTTTTTACTTCTGCTTTTATTATTCTTATATACTTTAAAACTGTTATTATTTTATTGTATATTTTTTATTTTGTAAATCACTTTGAGAGGGCTTTATGTAGAAACTAGTATAAAATACACTTATTTCTAGCAGTAGTAATGTTCCTGAACGTTATTAACTCCTTGAATAAAAATAAAAACAGCCCTAGACCATTTCTTAAGCTTAGAGCTAAGATATAATCATTGCTCTAAGCAGTACTTTGGAAGGTACTTACGTTTGAAAAAAAAAAGACTAAAGCACATTTATATAAGGCTGCATGAGGCAAGTACTTAAAATCATTTGGAAGCATAGTACAATTTCAGAAGTAATTTTTAGCTTTAGTCGATAACTTTTGAAGCCTAGGCATGTATGACACCATAATGCAGAAGCAGTTTCTTGCAGTCCAACTGGAAAAAGCATTGCAGTTTTTCTCCAGCACGACCACTGGAGAATCCATGGATGGGTTGACACATGTCTTTCTGCCCGGAGACTGAGTCCAACTGTTTTTGCTACACCCTTCATCAACTGTCACTCTCCCCAGTTCACGACTCAGTCTTGCCCTAGAAGGTTGTGGCAAAAGATGGAAAGAGCATTGCAGTTTTTCCATGGTACTGTGTTATGAACCTATAGATTTATTTCAATAAATAAAGTTCAAGAGTTTTCTGCATGCTGTTTTTCTTTTGCAGCATTTAATCCTGATAAAGCAAATCTTAATTGGTTTTTCAGGATTTGATACTCGGGATGTAGAAGTTTTCATCCACTTTAACATGCGTTTACTCCTGTGTACTAAGTAAATAGAGCCAATGGAGAGAACTAGAGTCTGTGAGGGAACTCATGTGTATGCAGTGCAAAAGAAACCAGATCTTTGTTTATACATAACTAATAATGATACTGTTGAAATGGAAGGATGAGTGCAAAAGATGCCAGAAGTTAATTTTTTGTTCACTTTTGTCTTCTTACAATAGCATTTTTCTTGATTAAAAACTTATTTTAGTGTCTTTGTATACTCTTTTCTACTATAATTAGGAATTAGTGCAGTATTTCTGGAGAAGACATCAAATTTTTGAAGACAAAGTGCTTTATATCAAATCACAAATAATAAGATAATGTTACATGTATTTTTCCATGGGGTTTGATTGGGGTGTCCATGTGGACAGGAAGCATTTCTGATGATTAATATGTGAATGTGTTAAGTTGCAGACCCCAGCCTCTTTTGCACAGAGTGTTCAGGAATTAACAATTGCTCTGCAGAGGACTGGTGATCCAGCTAATTTGACCCGGCTTCGACCTCATCTTGAACTTCTGGCAAATATTGATCCTAGTCCAGGTAAACTTGTATGGATGGGCAGGCAGACAGGCAGACAACAGTTTTTATATTATCTTAAAACTAATATATTTATTAGGGCATAAGCTTCTGTGCACTAGAGCCAGTTTCATCAATTTCATGAAACTATATCTTTTGACCAGCAATTCCAAATTTTTCCTGTATGTGGACTACAATTTTTAGAAATCTACGCAGCGGTAGGCTGCTACGGGTTCGCCCGGGTTTGGGCGAACCTGTAGTTAATGTTATGGCCGGTTCAGTGAACTGACAAATCCCACCCCTGGCTGGCCCCATCTACCCCACCCCTCCCAACCTGCCCCACTCCTCCCAGGAGTCTCCACACAACACATTTTGGGTATGAGGTAAGTGCAGGGCCTGCATGGAGGCTTGGGGAGGGGGAAAATGGGTCTCCCAGAGGCTCTGGAAGTCCGGAAACAGGCTCGTTTCTGGCCTCCGGAGAGCCTCCGGAGCCCGGGGGAGGCAGTTTTCGCCTTCCCAAAGGCTTGAGGAAAGCCTCCAGAGCCTGGGGAAGGTGAAACACCCCCCCCCACCCCCGTGGTGCAGGAGGCTGACTAGACCATGCCCACCATGCCACACCCACCCAGCAACCAGGCAGAGAACTGGCTGCTGAAATTTTTAAAGCCCACCCCTGGATCTATGTATAAATCAGAAGTTAGTGCTGACTGCACATTTATATAAAATTTCTACTCCCTGGAGATGATACTCTAACCTCAAAAACCACATAAACATAATCTTATGATAATTTCAGAGTTCATGTTATTTTATGATATATTTATTTTATTTCTGTATTCTTGCCAGAAAAGTCCAGTGCAAAAATATAACAGAAACATTCTAACATAAATTACCATGTAAAACCAGCTAAGTTTATTTTAAAGAGGAAAGAAGTAAATAAATGGCCAGAGGATCCTGTTCTTGTCATGAAATAAACTAATTTGCTTTTCAAAATCAAATCTTAATTCTTGCATATCATTAGTTCCTTGTAAATGTCTTATATTTTCCATGTTATTAAAAAAGCTGAATGTTTTTTATATTGAAAGAGTTTTTTGTTCCATAAAATTTCCCATTGCTGAGAAAAGTAAGCTTTTTCTTCTTCTAAACAACATAGATGCTCCACCACCCACGTGGGAACAGCTTGAGAATGGATTAGTTGCTGTACGGACTGTGGTACATGGACTGGTTGATTACATCCAGAATCACAGCAAAAAGGGAGCAGATCAGCAACAGGTATAGTGTATAGCAGGTCTCCCCAACTCCTCGTCTGCAGTCTGGTGTTGGGCTGCAGCCTGTTTGGAACCAGGCCATGGAAGTGATGGGTAAGCATAGTGTGTGGGCGCACATGAAGCTGCATTTGTGAAAGCGATGCGAAACCATCCCCTTCCCCATGACCACCATGGGTGAGCACACCAGACAAGAAAGGTTGGAGACCGCTAGTATATAGTGCAGAGCTTGGGAAAAATATACTTAGATGAGGGGTTCCTTTCTGAAATAAAACAGAAAAGTATACTTAGATGAGGGGTTCCTTTCTGAAATAAAACAGTTGTTTATTCTTTCACATTGTATGTAAGCTAACAAATTGCCACAAGAGATAATAGATTTTAGACTTTCTTTGAAGCCAAGATCAGTCAACTACTTAGTTTTCTGTGAGGTTAGTGTACTATATTATTACTTATCCCTATCAACGCTATTAAATGATATGATTAAGTGTTCTTTTTAAAATAATCTATTGTATCTACATAAAGGATGATCATACACATCTTTATATGAACAGACTGGTATTATCTATATGCTATGATTTTGATGATCAATTACAATAATCAAACATAGTCACTCATGCCATTTTTAACAAAGATATCTTTCCATATTTTTTCCTGAGATTTTTTTTTCTATTTATTTTGGAGAATTATTTTCCAAATAATCTTTTGTGTTCTTTTACCCAATTTAGCCACCTCAGCACAGCAAGTACAAGACATATATGTGTCGAGATATGAAGCAGAGAAGAGAATGCCCCCGTGGGGCCAGCTGCACATTTGCACACTCACAGGAAGAACTAGAAAAGTAAGTTCCATGTCATTGTTCTACCTTAAATATTATATACGAGCTCAAAGTCAGAATCATTCAGTTCAGTTTGAGTCAGCCTCAGAGGAACAGAATAGTAAAACCTTTGATTTATAAGTTTATAAGTCATACAGCAGCATTTTACGTCTGACTGCATCACCCTCAGAGATTTTTTTAAAATTCTAATTAGGGATTGCTGATATTATAAGCAAAAAAGTTAATTTTTAAAATCGACCTTTAAACACAAGAAATTGATAAGTACTACTGTGGTTTTATTTTTTTTAGAAGACATTTAAGAAATTATAAAAATATTTAATTGAACTTCTGTTTTAATTATTAAAATATTATTAAAGAAGAAATTATTTCATAAATGAAGGCAAATATATGTGTCCCATGAGAATGTCGATGGAGATTCTCAGTCATCCATGTCATGTTTGTCCCAAAGGTGCTTTTTTTTCCCAAGAGTCAACTGGACTTCCTGGTTTTTCTTTGAAGACTTCTTCAGCTCTTGGATGAGAAGCGAAACTTGGATGAAACTTCAACTTCTTGGACGAGAAGCAAAACATCTTCAAAGAAAAACCAGAAAGTCCAGTTGCCTCTTGAAAAAAAAGCACCTTTGGGTCCCAGGATAACGTTGCAGGATCCATTCTGAGTCTGTTACCAGGACCAGAGTTTTAATCTTCCAAGTTTTTGGACTTGTGCTGAAGCCTGGATCCAAGAAACTTTTCTCTCATCAGAATGTGTGCTTTAGGTTATTCTCTGCATAATATTTATGAGGTGTCTGGTTGCGTGTGACATTTTAGTTGTTGATTGGGGCGTTGATGGCTGGCTATTAAGTTGTTGGCTGTTGTTTTCTTGTACTTCCAAGTCCTCAGCTCCTAAGAACTTGATAAGCTGGCAGTAAATCAGCACTTCTATTTACTGAAAGGGCCCCATTTCCCAGGCTTCACTCATTTCCTCAGCTATTTAGGAAGCCAAGGACAGGATCCTTAATTTATTTCACTTGGGCTGAGCAATGAAATATTCAGCATCTTTACATTTGAAGATGAACATCATAGAAATGTGAGTTGGGAAGAGATGTTTTTGAGCAAGTGTAGTCTCCCTTAAAAGCAGGTACAAAAAATTATCTTCTTGCCTACTTTAATCAGTTTTGGATTTTTAATTAATCTTGTGGTTTTACAATTTGTGAACATATTATTTTATTTCCTATCTCCATTTGTAATGTTTTATCTTATGACATGACTCTGATTGTATTTGTTGATAATTTTAAAAAATACAAGATGAGTTGAGGTCTGAAGATGTGTTTCATCTTCATTTATCACAAGACTTCCTATTTAGAAGTAATGCAATTGAAAACAATTGTCAATAATTAATAACCCAGAGTTTGGAATCCTGGTAAACAGCTCAGTGAAAAAAACAAACAAACCTAGTCCAGGGATCCCCCAGGCCATGGCCCATTACTGGTCTGTAAGCCATTAGAAACTGGGCCTCGGAAGTGGCAGGCAAATGTGTGCACTCCATGTGCGCAAGAAGTGGGGGCACATGCCTGCCACTCACAAATGGAGCTGCATGTGCACGCTTACTGGCCGTTCGCGCGGAACCTTCCCTCCCCACCATCACTGGACTGCAAAACTGGAAGGATTGGGTAACTGAGCTACTGGATCATTAGGAAACAATTACTCCAAATAGGTTGTGATATGGACATACTTGAAGGCTGAGTTAAAAGATGTGCAGTTGACATGTGGGAAATTTTGTGTTACAGTACTGTTTTTTACTCTGAACTCAAGGTCAGAGATAAGCATCAATTAGCTGCTAGCCCATCTGCTAGCATTCATATCCTTTTAGTCTTTGTAATTAATCTCTCTCTCAGTCCTTTCAGAAACATATACAAAATCATCTTCATCTTACCCCTGTTAATATTGGAACCTAATGTTTTTCCTTGCTTTTGTTCCATCATTATCTATAATCTCTATACAATACATGCATATTCTCTCATCCATTTTGCTGCTCAACTGAGTGCAATCACCAGTGGTTCCTGCAACATAGGAATATAAATGGGAGTTACTGAGACAAGCAGAAGCACCATGAAACATTATGTAGCTGTTGCTTCAAAGGATTTCACAAGGAAAGACATGAATAGTAAGGGCCATTGTCCGAGGATTTCACTGTACAAATGCTTGAAGTTTTACTTTCCTTTTGTGGTAAAAAAGAAACAGAACATGGAATCATCAAAATTCATACTTGGAAATTACTTGTCTAGAAACTACAAAGGGAAGGAGAGAGGGCCAAGTGAAGAAGTGAATGTTTTGGTTGCTGAGTATCAAGCTTGTAGGTGGTGGATAAGTGAGAGTAGATATGTTTGCAGCTTTCGAGATCAGCAACTTTTACAGCCTTTGGGGTGAAAAGAATTGCCACAGATGGACTACAGGATAGTCTTCAGTTTCAATCATTGTTCAGTGACTACTGCCAGAGTTATGGCAGCACTGAACGAAGGGACTTCCAATCACTCCCCAAAATTATGTGTATTGCAGTTCCCCACAATCGTGATTAAAATTTGGACACTTGGCAACCTGTTTGCACTTAAAACTGCGGGGGTGCTTTAACTCCTCCTATCTGCCTATCTCCTCACAATCTCTGCCCTTTTGGCGCCCTGCATTCTACCTTCCCCTAAGCCATATGTGATGTTTGCTATCTTCTTGCTTCCACAGCTGACCAAGCATGCCCAGCTTGGCCCTTCATGA